CGACAAAAATCTACCTCCAACTTTCTCTTCTTTGATGGGTGGGAGTAGGCAGGTGACAATACCATCCAAGCAGTCACTCAGAGCTAAACCAAATGAAGCATCCTAAAGGCCTTCCTCTCCTTTAATGTCAAATCTAGTCAGTAGACTCGGTCAATTTAATCTCCTAAGTATTTGTCAAATTTCCCCTGTCTTATTCTCATTCCTGCCACCACTGCCTTGGTGATTCAGCCCCAGTATCTCTCACCTAGATCATTACATGTCTCCTAACTGTTCTCACTGCCTCCAGTTTTGCCCCTTCCAAACCATCCTCCAGATTGTAGAGACAGATTATTATTATTATTATTATTTTTTAGTTGGAGTCTCACTCCCTTGCCCAGACTGGAGTGCAGTGGTATGTTTCCGGCCACCAAAGCCTTGATCTGCTGGGTTCCAGGGATCCTTCCACTTCAGCCTTCCAAGTAGCTGGAACTACAGGCGCGCGCTACCATGCCCAGCTAATTTTTGATTTATTTTAGAGATGAGGTCTCGCCAAGTTGTCCAGGCGGGTCTCAAACCCGCGGGCTGAGGCAATCCTCACCTCGGTCACCCAAAGTGCTGGGATTACAGGCTGAGCCACCGAGCCCAGCCAGATTATTCTTTTAAATGCAGTTATAACCATGCTGCTCCCTTATTTAAAACTCTTCGATGGCATCTTATCATCTACATACAGGACAAAGTCCAAGCTCCTAGTATGTCCCATAAACACTTTTATAATCGAGTTCCTTTCTCATGCCACAGTTTAGCCAACTTCTTATACTGTTTTATTTCTGTATGCATTTATTCATGTTGTGCCTCTAAGTGACCTATGCACACTCTCATTAAATCTTACTTTACCTCTTGCTGATTAAAACACAGTAGGCCTTTTCTGATCTCCCTAGATGTGGTCAGATGTCCCTTCTGTGTTCACATCATCCTTTTTGTATATCTCTATCATCACAGTTATTGTCTTTAATAATTACCTATGAATATGTCTATTTCCCCTATTAGAATATCATCTGCTTGTGGTCAAAGAATGTGTTTTATTAGTCTTTTTATCCTCGGTATATAAAGAAGTGTCTGGAAATAATAAACATTCAATAATTGTTTAATGAATAAATATCCCTATACTATATTTAAAGCTCTACAAAAGCATTTCATGTCATTTGTAGTCCTGGGGAATAGACACTTTTGTATCAGGGTAATTTGATTACTCAGGAAAATCTAGTAGTGTAGGTGTTGCCCTGACTCATTGCTCCTGGACAACAAAAATGAAGCAATGCTGTACTGCTCAAATGAATTGCTATGTACACAGCTATAGTCACGGTTCCAGGAATCATTATCTAGGTGTTCAAGAAATGTTTTTTTTTTTTTCTTTTTTTTTTCAAGTTGGAATCTTACACTGTCTCACAGGCTGCTTGACACTGGGGTGGCCTTGAGTGTGCCACTGCACTCCAGCCTGGGCGGAAAAGTGAGACTCTGACTCAAAAAATAAAAAATAAAAACAAGCAAACAAATAAATAAATAAAGCAGGGTAGGTGGGGCACAGTGGCTCACATCTATAATCCTAGCACTTTGGGAGGTGGAGGCTAGAGGATTGCCTGAGTCCAGGGGTTCAAGACCAGCCTGGGCAAATTGACGGGACCTTAACTCCACAATAAATGAAAGAAATTAGCCAAACGTGGTGGTATATGTCTGTGGTTCCAGCTACTTGGAAGGCTGAGACAGAAGGATCACCTGAACCCAGCTGGTCTAGGCTGCGGTGGCCATGAATGTGCCACTGCACTCCAGCCTGGGTGACAGAGTGAGGCTCTGACTCAAATAAATAGATAGATAGATAGATAGATAGATAGATAGACAGACAGACAGACAGACAGACAGATAAAGCAGAGTAAAGACCCTACTTTATTTTTCAGAGAAGGCCTCAATCTGAAGGGAACATTTGAGTGAAACCTGAAATAACATGGGGTCATTCATGTAAAAATCAGGAGGAAGCACATTCCAGGAAGGCACACATTAAAGGATTTTAAGGTGGAAAATGAACATGGCATGATCAAGTGAACAACAGAAGGCCAGTTTGGCTAGTATAGTAGGTGAGGGAGAATAGTATGAGGACAAAAAGGGGGACAAGATTATGTATGGTCTATTGGGCCACATAAAAGCGCCTGCATTTCATTTTTAAGTGAAGCTGGAAATCATTGGAGGCCTTTAAGTGGGGAAGGGATACACTTTGGTTGCACATCACTCTTGCTAGTTCTGTGGGGGATGTATTGTAGAAGGTGGATAAAAATGGAAGAAGGGAGATAATTTAGAAAGCTACTGCACCGAACTGACAAAAAAGTAATGTGACATTTGCTTTTGTGAGGATTAATTGGACTAATGTAAATTAAGTGTGAATTCAATGTGTGATACATAAACACTCAACAATATACGGTTATCTATCATTATTAATTTATACCTATGGAAAAGTCTTCTTGTTCAATAGGGTATGAACATCAAAACCATTGAGACAATAATTTGGGAAGTATACAATGACCACAGCACACAAAGTATAAGAAGTAGAACTCTGCTACTCATATAACAAAATTTGTTGAGGATTACTCTGTGAAAATTATGAAGTTTGCTGGGCCAGCATGGGGAAACCAGATTAATAGCTTAATCATCATAGAACACTAGATTTGGGAAGAATCTTCAACGTTTCGTGTGACAAACATAATAGCAGTCCAGAGAAAGAAGCTGCTGCTCCTCTTAAACTGAAAGATGAGAGAATCAGACCCTAGGTTGCCCCAAGGGTATATGAGTAAATGAGTAAAGATTTTCATTAACAACATAAAACCAAAAGTTTTAAATAAAATGCTATCTCGGCAGCACATTAACATGCTATACTAAGAAAAATGTTGTTTATATAAAGCCCTTAATACAGTGCTTTGCCCAGAGTACATGCTCAATAAATGATAGCTACTACTTTCTACTGCTAAAAATATTATCGTCTTTGGAAGGCTGAGAGTGTGATGTCTACCTAACATCAACTACTTGACTAAACTAATAGTAGAACCACAGGAATCCTAATCTAATTCAGCCATTTGATTTTACAGAAGGAAAAAGAGAGATCTAAAGGGGCTAAATGAGCTGCAAAGTCATCCCCAGTGAATGAATTAGAGACAGAACCAAAGCCAAACTCTAAATCCCCAGCCAGAACTGCAGTTGAACTATAAGGTAGTGTTTCAAAGTTTTATAAAAGGGTAATAAGAACATAGCTGCTGTGCCGACTTTTTCAATTTTTTAATTAAAGTCACCACTGAGCTATGAATTTGATATAAGGAAGAATCAGCCACAATGAGACTGTGAAGATATAGTAGGTGAGTTAAAAACAAAATAACAGTCTTGGTAATGCAAGTCTATCATGGACACCTGATGAATGGACGAGAGGTGACCTGAGCAGCTGTTATATGCACTGAAGCAGAGAAACTACAAAGTCTCTCTACTTACAGAAGAAATCAAATACAAAGGACAAAATGCTTTAAAGCATTTTCCAAAGCACAAATGAAATGACAAAAGCTGCGGGTCACACAAAACTAAAAGGAGATAAACACTCTTGGTATACAGCAACATAATGCTTTGTTTTAAGCAAAGACTAACAGGAGTCTAATAAAAGTATTAGGAGATCAGCCTGGGCAGCAAAACCAGATCCTGACTCTATAAATTAGCTGGATGAGGTGGCCTGTGCCTGTAATCCCAGCTACTCGAGAGGCTGAGGCAGGAGGATTGTTTGAGCCCTGAAGGTCGAAGTTACTGTAAGCTATGATTGCCACTGCACTCCAGCTTGGGCGATAAAATGAGACACTGTCTCTAAAAAAAATAAGAGAGAGGGAGAGAGAGAGAGTTAGACAGAGACAGACACACACCAGGCTAGAAGCCACAGTGCGTGAACAGTTGTAGCAACCAATCCAAAAAAGCTTAACCTTTCACCAAGAGTAGAAAGACCAACTGTGGACTTTCAGATCCTTTTGCATATGAGATGCGGGTGCCCACTCCCTATCCTCCAAATAAAAAAACCATCTCTGAATGGGAGAGATAACGGGGCGGGGCACAAGGGGGAATCCAACCTATTTGAGGTGAATTACATTTCACTCAACAAATATCTCCTGAAAATCTACTTTGTGTAAGACATCGTGAAAGACGCTTGCCTCACCTCAAAAACTCCAGAATTCTACGGGATATGGGAAGAGAGGGGGACTCGCAGAAGTTCACAATCCAAGGCCGAAGAGGAGCACTCTAAGAGAGGCTCCAGTAGGGTCATGGGCTCAAAAGCAGGAGGACTCTGGGACTCAGAAAAGACTCCCTTAAAGAGATGGCGTTCAAGAGAACTGCTGAAGAAAAGACGGAGATATGGGGAGGAAAAGTAGGAGAGTAGGTAAACGTTCGCAAGAACAACTTCCGGCTCCCTCACAACCGCCAGTCTCCCCACGCGCTCGGCGGGCGTCACGCGCGCCCTCTCTCGCAGGCAGGCGCTGGGGTTCCGGACCAGACCGGCCGCGCTTGTTTCTCCCGCCCTTTCTTACCTAGGGGTCTTCCAAACTCCTCCTCGGTCAGCCCCGTCTCAGGATAGGAGAAGACAACCCCGTCTGGAATGAGCCCTAAGGCCAGTAACCTGAGCACCCTGTCTACTCGTGGGGTTCAGGCGGCCGCCGGACCACATCTCCATAGCAACGCCGCCAAGCACCAGTTCGAACGCCCGCGCTGTCGCCTGCGCGCCGGCAGCTCTGCACGGCCCACCAATGGGCATCCAGGAAACCCGTTGACGTGCGTCTTCTTCTCCACTAGAAGGCCAATCAGAGATCCGAGGAAGTAGTGGGCGTGAATCTCAATTTCCGTTCTTCAACCAATAGTTCCGCTTGAATGAAGATCTCGCGACGTTCTCAGTGAGAGAACGGCATCCTTGAGGCGGCCCAAAGATCCTTCTGCCTAATTCTATTGGTCACCCAAAGCAAAACCGAGTTCTCTCGATTGGCCGACGTACCTTCAGTTTTTGTTCAAGGCCCGCCTCGTGCCTCTCTCTACTTCGGGTGAGTAGCCTTAGCGCCTAGGGTTTAGCTCTCCGTGGAGAAACTGAGGCGTGGAGTGACGGGTGTCTGCTATTGAATAACTTCGGTCGCTGCTGGGTCAAAGGTGAATGCATCTTCCTCCAAGCTGGCAGGGAGGTGTGGGTAGGCCAGGCCCTATCCGCTCCTAGGACCTCAGTTTTCTTCCTGTCTGCACCGGAGAAGGGTGGGCTCATTGACCCTGTGGGCCTTGCTTGGCCCCCCACCCCCCGTGCGAGTGGTGATGGGGTGGTCGTCGGAGTCCCACTGGCGAGCGAGGTCTGGGTTTAGGGCCTAGCAACCTGGACCCCATACCTTCCCTTCCCTGGGCCTCAGTTTCATTTTGTTGTTACCCGTTAAACCTCGTCTGCTTTTCAAAAGAGATTTTATGTTTTCTAGTTTCTTCACTTAATGAATGGATAATATCGTGGCAATTATAGCAAAAGTAAAGAAAATCACACGAGAGTCCCACCGCCTTAAAAAAAATGACAGTTTGAAATAAATTGAATGCAATCAAATTGTCAAGTGTAAAACACTCATGCAGAGCTGAGGTTAAGAGCAATGATATTGAGAGTCAGGCAGACATGCGTTTGACTCACTACCCAGACACTTATATGAGCCATAGCTTCCTTTTTCCTGTGTGAAAAATGGCAGTAATGCCTCAGCGGGTTATTGTGAAGATTAAGTGAGGTAAAGAAGGTAAAGTACTTGGCCCAATGCCTGGCAAGTAGCAACTTCTCAAAAAATGGTAGCCATTATCCTAATAAGAACAAGCAGGGCCAGGCACCATGGCTCACACCTGCAATCCCAGCACTTTGGGAGGCACAGGTGAGAGGATTGCCTGAGCCCACAGGTTCAAGACCACCAACCTGGGCAATATGGCGAGACCTCATCTCTACAATAAATCAAAAAATTAGCCGGGCGTGGTGGTGCACACCTGTAGTTACAGCTACTTAGAACTCTGAGGTTGAAAGATTGCCAGAGCCCAGCAGATGCCACTGCACTCCAACCTAGGCGACAGAGTGAGACTCCAACTCAAAACAAAACAAAAAGACAAGCAAATGTACTAATCAACAGGTCGGTGTGCTTTACTGTAATTGAGTACCCAACTTAGATCAAAATTTGTTAAGGAAAAAAGATAATTCTTACTAAATAGTAATTAAGGAAACATCCGTTCTTCAAAAGAGAAATTTTTCCTTGTTCCCATATTGAAAGGAATTTATCTTGTAGGACCTTATAAAAAATATACAGGATATAGTAAACAGCTTTCATCAGCAGTTTTGCAGACAAAATGAAAAGCCATTTTATTTAAAATATAGAGAAACTATGATGACCTTTCATGATACAGGAATAAAACTGACTCACAAGCCTGAGGTGGAAGGATTGTCTGAGCCCAGCAGGTCAAGGCTCTAGTAGCCATGAGTGTGCCACTGCACTCCAGCCTGGGCGACAAGAATGAGACTACAACTCAAAAAAAGAAAAAAAAAGACTGACTCACATACGTGTATATTTATATCTCTGATACATCAGACACCCTGTATATATCATTTACTATTTATTTATTCATTTATTCATACATTCATTCGGAGTCAAGGTTTCACTGTTGCCCAGGCTGGAGTGCAATGGCACAATAATGGGTCACCATTATTGAACTCCTGGGCTCAAGTGATCCTCAGCCTCAGCCTCCCAAGTAGTTGGAACTATAGGTGCAAACCATCATGCCTAGCTAATTTTTCTAATTTTTGTAGAGATAGGGTATCGTTTTGTCGCCTAGGCTGGTCTTGAACTCCTGACCTCAAGTGATCCTTCTGCGTCAGCCTTCCAAAGTGCTGGGAATAGGTGCTAACTTCATTTTACAAATGGAGAAGTTAAGGGTCTTGCTCTAAGTAACAACTGTTAAATTCAGTAGCTAGGTCTTTCTGACTTCAAAGCCAACCATACTTTTCTGTGTCGCGCTGTTTCTGACTGAAAGAGGATGAAAATGCTTGGAATACCAGATTGCGAAAGCAGATCAGACAGGTAGACTCACCCAAATTGGAGGAAGTGGGCTGTAGACATACCTATGCTAAAAGCAAAATCTTTCTCCAGTAGAAAATTTCCACCTTGGGAAATGAAGAGATGGCATGAGATTGTCATTGAACTTTATTATATTTAATTTTAGTTTAGAGTCGTGGGGTACAAGTAAGGATTTACTATAAGTAAGCTGCATGCTGGTGAAGTTTGGGCTTGTTGCTGGCCCTCTCTTCCTCTGATAGCAGACCTTGTACCCAGTGAATTGCCACATGCACCTCCTCCCCTCATTCCTTTTCTCCCATCAGTGTCCAGCATCTACCAACCTCACCCTTGTGCTCACATGACCAGTGATCAGGGCCCACTTATACAGTATTCAGTTCTTTGTTGCTGTGATAGTTCACTTAGCATGATGGTCTCCAACTACATCCATGCTGCTGTAAAGGTCATGGTTTTGTTGTTTATGGCTGCATACTATTCCATCATGTAAATGTGCCACATTTTCTTTATCCTGTCCACTTTCAGTGGACATCTGGGTTGGTCCCATGTTTTTCTCTTGTGGATAGTGCTGCAATGAACATATATGTGCAAGTGTAGATATCTTTTTGGTAGAGTGAATTATGTTTCTATGGGTGTATTTGCAGAAGAGAGATTACTGAATCATATTGAAGCTCAATTTTTAATTCTTTGCAAAACCAGCAAAAGTTGAACTGGCTTATAGCCCCAACAACAGTGCAGAAGTGTTCCCTTTTCTCCACATCTGTACTAACACCTGTTGTTTTTTTACTTTTTTTTTTTTTTGAGTTGGAGTCTCACTCTGTCACCCAGGCTGAAGTGCAGTGGATACTCATGGCCACTGCAGCCTCAACCCACTAGACTCAGGCGATCCTTCTGCCTCAGCCTTCCAAGTAGCTGGAATTATAGGTACACGCCACCACGCCTGGCTAATTTTTTTACTTATTGTAGAGATGAGGTCTCACCAAGTTGCCCAGGCTGATCTTGAACCCCTGGGCTCAGGCAATCCTCTCACCTTGGCCTCCCTAAGTGCTGGGATTACAGACTTGAGCCACTGAGCCTGGCCGTTTTTTTTTTTACTTTTTAATTTAACCATCCTTATTGGTGTTAAGTGATATCTCATTGTAGTTTTGATTTGCATTTCTGTGATGATTAAATCACTGAACTTTAGGCCCACCTGTTCATTTACCTTATGGGTAGTCTATAGCATTTCTTTTCTTTTTTTTTTTTTTTTTTTGAGTTAGAGTCTCATTCTGTTGTCCAGGTTGAAGTGCAGTGGTATGCTCATAGCCACCACAGTCTCAACCTGCTGGACTCAGGCAGTCCTTCCACCTCAGCCTTCCAAGGAGCTGGAACTACAGATGTGCACAACCACTCCTGGCTTCTTTTTTTTTTTTTTAATTGTAGAAACAAGGTCTCACCAAGTTGCCAGGCTGGTCTCGAACCCCTGAGCTCAGACAATCCTCTCGCCTTGGCTTCCCAAAGTGCTGGGATTATAGGCTTGAGCCACTGTGCCTGGCCAGTCTATAGTATTTCAGATTCAACTTGTTCCAAACAAATGATTAGCTTACATTCTCTACCCCCTTTTCTACCAAGTCACCCAAACCAAACACTTCTCTTTCTCTTTCTCTTGGATTGTGAAATATCAAGTTTGTCAATTTTACTCTGAAATCTCTCTCAAATTCAGCTTCTGCCCTTTCTCACAGCTTCTGCTTTGCTCTAACTCTGTATCATTTGTTAACTAGACTGTTGAAATAGGCTTGTAGCTGGTTGATCTCTCTGCCTCCATTCTGTCCTTCTAATTCGTTCTCCACCTTGCTTGCTGCCATATGTCTTTGTGAAGTGTCAGTCTGACCAACTTATAGTCCTGCCTAAAACCAGTTAAAGGCCTCATTACCTACAGGATATAAACTAAGCTGTTTATCAATGAGATGTACTTTTGTGCTTGAGAGTCTTTGTCCATACTCCTCTCTTTGCCTGCAGGACCCCTTGCATCTACCTTTATTCTACCTGGTAAACCAGTCATTCTTCAAAATTTTTGAGGTATCCCTTTAACCTAATGATTCTTCTTTGCTACCTTTCCATCTTACATATACACTTATGATACACAAAGCATGCTGTAACTTGTTTTAATGTTTTCTACTTTCACTAGGCTGTGAATCCCTAGAAAGTAGAGGCTAATCCAGGTTTGTAGCTGTCCTTCAGTCCTTTCACACTGTGTGTTGCATGGGACACACTGAGCAGACATTAGATGAGTAAAGGAGTTCCTCAGACTCTAATATTAGAATTCCCTGAGCTTGCTTTCTAGAATTGTACAGCAGATGGCACCAATAGGCCGTTTAACAAATTTCCTCCACTAAGAATGATTTTTGTCCCAACCTTGCCTGACTTTGGCCTTATCCTAGAAGCCAATATTCATGCCATTACAGGTGAAATCTCCTGTTTCCTCTTTCAGCCAATAGCAAAGATAGCAAAATGACTCAGCAGCTTGGTCTCTGCAAGAAGTAATGGAGTGGCAGATGTCCAGAGAAAGGTGCAGTTAAGGGAATATTTTCTTTGTCTCCATTTATTCATGATAGTAGGTGCTTTTTTTGTTTTTCATTTCTTTTTTTAAAAATTTTCCTCCTTTTTTGCAGTTGTTGTTACAAGAGAAAGCTTTACTCATGGATGGGTGCCTTATTTCAGTTCACTCCAAAAGGGAAGAAAGAAACTGGCAAATGAACAAAAGATGATTATGATGTGGGAAGTGAGGGACAACTGAGTAATCACATAGAGTTGCTTGTAGACAGGCAAAGAATTGACCTTTCTCCTCACGTAGAGGAGGGCCTGGGCAAATTTTCTGAATGGTAAGGCCCTAAGTTAAGTGCTCATGTGCTTCTCTGTGCTTGGGGATCCTCAGGCTACTTCATATGGCTTTGAACATGTAGTTTTACGTTCCTACTTCCTAGAAAAGAGCAGAG